ATACCAAACATCATTTTCAACAAGGTCATTAATCATTAGCTGTATTTGACAGGTGAAGTCCATCCTCAGCATGTCTGTGAGCTGTTGTATAAGTGTTCATTTATCTGTGTTTGCTTACCCTGGCATTTATTCAGCGACAGACATTAGGCCTCAGTGATGGCGGGTGTCGAGCTCCAGCTCCTTGGCCCAGACCCCTGCATTAATGAGGCTGCCATCAGCAGGCTGAACACTTAGTCACAGCGGCCCCCTGTGTGCCGCCCCATACCGGCCCTGCACATCGCTGCCCATTGTTTCCTGTTCACAAATAAAGCGGGAATTAATTAGCCAGTTGGCACAACTCTTGGTGCTGCCGTGTCAGCGCTCGCAGTTGAGCTCTGTGCCTCATCCCTCAAGCCCAGTCTGTCTGCTGTGAGACTGAGCATAATGGCCACGACCGCATGAAACCACGGCCCTCTGCCAGCATTTCAGACATTTCAAATTACTGCTCACTCAACAACAGAGAAAAGTAGCTTGTATGCTGTAATGACGACATCTATTTCACCTGAACTAAAAAGTCCCGTCCTCAAAAGTAATGAAGGAGTACATTAAATGTAGCTCAGTAACTAGTAACGAGGAGTGATCCTTCCCATGGATCAGCTCCACTCATGTCCGTCAGTCCAAAAGCTGTGGTGTAAGTAGGTCAGACTGGCGGGGCTGTGGTGATAGGGACAGTGAGACAGAGGAAAGCAGGGAGAAGAGCCCGTCATTCTCTAAAACGATTATCTACAACTTTTATTGTGTAAGTGAAGACAGTGGAAGTGAGCCCACTGCATTAAAATTAAACATGCAATCACATCCACCGGACTGTAAACGGGCACATTATGTACAAGACACTGACATATTAGCCAACACCTGCATGATCCTGCCGCACATTTTAAACAGGAACACACCCTCATGCTCACACATGCACAAACACATAATCATGTTCACGTTGTCACTTCGGTATTGTTAAATTTAGCCACGGTGCTTAGCAGGTGTAACAAATGTCGGCGAGCTGAGGCCTGGGAGGTGTTCCCGCAGATCAGAGACGCTACTGCTGTGTCTGATTACTTGTCTGCTGTCATGGAGCTCTGCTCTCTGCGTCTATCTCTTTCTTTCCTTCCCCCCCAAAGCAGCCACAGGGGACCATCACTGCCTAGCTCATTCTTTGTTTAGTTTGTGATTCAGTAGCAAGCAGCAAAGCCCCCCCTCAGACGCATTCTTATTGTTTGCCCGAATGCAACGTCAGTTAAGGCCACTAAAAGCTCCTGACCTCAAAGTCACAGATGCCACCACAAAATTGGATTTTAGACTGGGAATGTGTCAGCCGCAGTAATTCAGCTGAGAATGAGATTGGAAATGTCTTTGTCCCCATGAGATGAGAGCTGAGAGGGTTTTAGGAGAAAAACGGCATGGTATGGAATATGAGAGCGCTATCCAAATCAGGTTCCTCTCAGCTGCTCAGATTACAATTGATGTGCTCTTTTGTGCCATATACACTTCCACCTGGATTAAGTTTTCTGTCTCTTGTGCCTTTCTCCCCTCTCTCTTTGTCCCCCCAAATTCTGTTTCTTCTTGCTTTCTCCCTGTCTCACCTCTGACCTGTCCTGTCCTCCACCCCAGGGGACACCACACAAAGGATGAGATCCGCTCCGTTTCCAACCCCTGCAGAATTGGATGCATATGCTAAGAAAGTTGCCAACAACCCCCTCACTATCAAGATCTTCCCTAACAGCGTCAAGGTCCCCCAGCGAAACCACGTACGCCGTACAGTCAACGGGCTGGATACGTCAGGCCAGCGCTACAGCCCTTACCCTTCCGCTCAGGCCAGTGCCAAGACAGGCCTCCTCGCCGTCGTCAAGGTGCCCACGGTCAAAGGCATCCTAAAAGATTTTGACGGCAGCCGGGCTCGCTTGCACCCTGACGTCATCATGAACCATCCCACCGGACACTACCAAGTGGCTTCGACCAGCACTTTAAACCACCACCCACCTCTGCCGAACCTTCCTCGGCTCCAGCAGAGCTTACCCCTTCAACCACAGGACCCGCCTCAGACTCTACAGATGCCCCTTCCTCAGCAGCAGGGTCACACTCAGAGCCTCAGACACCATCCCCCCATGGCCCAGCACCCTCAGGGCCCACCCAGACTCCAGACTCTGTCTCAGCACCCAGCCCTTGGCCACCCACAGGGGCCCCCTACCGTCATGCTTCAGCAGCAGCACCTTCAGCAGCAGCCGCCACCTGGCCTGCAGGGGAGCAGAAAGCTGCCAGATGGCGACGCTCCGCCTAATGTTACCGTCTCTACCTCAACCATTCCACTCTCCATGGCTGCTGGGCTGCACCAGGGCCACCAGGCCGACCTGAGCAGCATTGTGCATCAGATTAACCAGTTCTGCCAAGCTCGGGCCCAATGTGCAGGAGCCACCTCCATGTGTGAGGGCCAGATCGCCAACCCCAGCCCCATCAGTCGCAACCTGCTTATCAGCGCCTGCTCCAGGGTGTCCATGCACAGCAACCCTGCCACCCCAGGCTTCCCCCCGCCCAACTGCATTATTGGCCCTCAAGAGAAAGCCACCGCCCTGGTGGGAGCTCACCCACCACCAAGTGTGGCTGCTATGAACCACTTGCCTTCCAACCACACGGATCTCAAGCAGCAGCACCACCTGCAGCATCTGCATCCACAACAGAATCAGCAGCAACAACAGCTACAACATAACACACAGCATCAGAAGATGCACTCTTGGAATCAGCACCAGTTGGCTCATGTACCCCACATTCAAAACGGTGGGACCCACCTCTGCAAGCAGCCTTCCAGGGACCCCGCCTTCCATTTCAAGGGCATGGGCTACCCTGCAGAGGTGTGTGTGGGTCAGCCTTACACACTGAAACCTCCTGTAGAGAGGCCCACCCCCCTCCCCCCCGTCAACAACAACGGCATGCCCGGTCCCATGGCCCACTACACTAATGGTCACTACTTCCAGTCCCACATTTGGAACAGCAGCATCCTACCCACACCCAACAGTGACAGCTCCGGGTCTCAGGACATAGCCATGCCATTCCACGGTGCAGGCCCAGGGGGATGCACCACGCTAGACTGTGGGCCCCCTGGGGCTCCCCATTACAGGCTAGGAACGAGCTCCTCCACCTCCTCCTCCGCCCAGACTAATCTGATGCAAACGGCAGATTACTTGGGTGGGGACTTCCAGACGCCCTATTTCCGTGATCAGAATCTAGGGTTGATGGGCAAGATGCACAGGCCTCCTCTGAGCAGGGTAGGTCCAGAGGTTGGGGATGGCAGAACCGCTCTCATCCAGCACCCAGGGTACAGATAAGCTATGGCCTTGTCTACACAACAGTTATCAAAACCCCTTTGTTTAGTCTTAAGAAAGGAAACACATGAATAAAATTAAATTGATAACTTAAACAAATGACCGCTAATGTTAAAGAGGGTAAATTAATATATTTAATGAACAACAGTAGGTTATTTTTTTCTGTTTTTTTTTTTTAATCTTGCAAGTGATCAATTGCTGCTTCTATTTTTGTTAATGAGTGCTTTTACCTGGCACTTTAGGGAACTTTTTCATGTGCGTGTTTATACACATCTGTACTGTGTGTCATTCCCACCTTCTTCCTCTATTGTACTATCTGTGTGCCTGGATCTAAACAGATCCTGTGTTATTTATACTTCAGAACTATCGGTTAAGTTTTCTTATGCATGTAAGAAAGAAGAAAAACAGATAGATCCCTCACTGAAAAATCAGCATCTACGGATGGATGATTTTTTTTACAGGGTCATGTCAGGAATTTTTGGCTCCGACTAGTTTTATTAGACTAGACCTTGGTGTTAATGCTCAAATATCCTAGTAACGTCAAGATTAAACACAATCATTTAAGGACAAAAGAGAGAGTTGTGTCAGTGCAAAGCCATCAGACACTGGAGACGACAGCAAAGTACAGCTGGAAAAGCTTGCTGTATGCACATGTACACAGGTTTTATTCTTTTGAAATGTAATTATTTATTTGTATAGTAGGATTATTCAAAATTGATTCCTCTCTGTCAGTTAAGGAAGCATGTAATCAGGTTGTTTGTACATAGTAAAGATCCAGCAGGGAGCAAACGTGTTGAAAAGATGATGCTCCGTCCTGCTGAAAATGCTGCAATGAATTCAGGTGTTTAAAAAAAAAAATAACTTTTTGTCAATGCCAGGAAGGTTTGGCAACAAGATTGTGAAATGTTTAGTGCAGAAAAAGTCATGAAAGATTAACTCTCATACCTTAAAATGGCCAAAGTCAGGTTAACAAGGACACACTGTTATGAAGTTGTGCCATTTTATGTTTGTTTCCTTTTCAGATCTTTTTTGTAACCATGACAAATGTATTACTTGAATGTTGAGATTATTTGTTTTGCAGGTATTGAGGGGGTTAGTTAGTTATGAGGACAAAACTCTGGAGTAGAAGAAATAATAGTTACTAATGTCATGTAGAATCAAACTACGAGCCTAACCAGAGTTTTGATCCTGACAGCAGGAACTTAAGTGAATTAAGTTATGTGTAGTTTCTACTGATTCTGATGTGAAGTCTGCTTGAAAAGACCAAATTGATCACTTGCAAGATCACTTGGAGGTAAACAAAAACTGACTTTTAAGTTTAAAGTGAAACAGCAAATGCATTGTTTATTTTATTGTACACTGGCTTACCTACTAGACTACTGTAACTTTAAAGTTTAATGATTGTGTGTGAATGTTGCCTGCTGACGTGAGTAGAGTTAAGTGTGTGTATGTCTGCGTGCGTGTGTGTGTGCGTGTGTGTGTATGCGTGTATAAACACAATGACGCCCATGTTTTGTTCACCTAACTCCCTAACAGCCCTTAAAAAGCCTTAAGTGTTTGGTCCTTGGACTTCCCTTGAAAATGAGCATGGTTTTAATGAAAACCCCAAATAATAAGGAGAAAGAAGATGGTAAGGATACACAGAAACAGCAATTTTTGCTTTCTTTTTTTCTGGTCTTTTTATTTTAATGAAGTTTTGTTAAATAGAGCAATTCCTTAGAGATTCTTTATTATGGAAAGCAAGAAAAGGAGTAATATTTTGTAATTATATATTTTAGCAATGTGTAGTTACTGAGCTGTAACATTTTTTTCCAAGTTTCAAAGCTTCAGTTTGCAGTTGTGACTATTTATAATACTTGATTTGCTTGTTATTTAAATTTGATTTTCTTCTTTGTTTCTTGTACTATTGCTGTGAAATGGAAGAAGGTCCATAAGCCTTTCTTTTGTGTCATTCTGTACGACAGATAAGAGGCAAGAGTGTGAGAGTTGTGCTACTCTTTTTGTAATATTGTAATAATAAAATAAAGTTCTAATTTATGCTTTGAAATTGGTCTGAACTTCTGTTTGGATAATCTGCTGCATTAATTTAAAAGGACTCTGACAACAGAGCTCAGTCTTTGAGCGATACACTAACATATTTGGACCGTCAGACAGGATGACAATATTAACTATTGTCATCCTGTCTGACGGTCCAAATATGTTACAAAACATAGATTTGTTTCTTACATAATCAGCCTTACAAGTGACTGTCTGGTTCAGAGGGCCCGTCTAAGCCACATACTGTAATTTATAACTGCAACAGCTACAGTAAGGTGGTCATTGTTGCACCAATTGCTGTGCTTTCATGCCATTTATTTGAGCATCCCTCTGCCAAACAGGAAGTAGAGTAGACAAAGCCAGCTGTGAAATCCGCAGGACTATCTGGCTGCAGAAGATTTAGCTTGTCTGGCTGTGATGAAAATGGGACCGGTATAAAGGGCACACAGCGGGAGGGCAGGATCAGCACCTTCGTGATCAGTATTACTCCATGAAGGATTTTGAGCGATGCCAGTGGTGCCAGCAGGTTATGGCCTTTGTGCAGAGAGGATGTGCATCCTGTTCAGGTGGTGGCAGAAGCAGCATGCGCAGAGGCCTTTGGATGAAATGTTTAATGTATTTCAAATGCATGATTTACTTGGCAATCAAGCAACTCTTGATGCAGCATTCAGCTTTGATATAAATTATTTTTTTACACCATTATAATTTATGTCAGTCAGGTGAACAAATATCTACAATATTTTCCTCAACCATGCTCATCTCAGTGAAATATTGCCTCAGAGACAAAATTTGAAAATCCATCTTACATCAGATGGGAGTATCAGTCAGAGAGGCAGTAAAATTTTCTTGGTGAACTGAAACTGAACACTGTCTTTAGGTTTGAATGCCTCGTTGCTTAGGTCAGTCAGGCTCAGCAGCCCAAGTGAAGCTCTCTAGACCGGTGTGGTGTTCAGAGGATTCATCTCTGTGGACTGATCTGTCTGCCACCGCCGCTGACTGCCCGCCATGATTAAGGCTCTCCAGCTCCTCCCTGTGGACAAAGGAGAGAAATATTAGTAGACGTGAATTTATTTCTTGTCACAGAGAAATGCCTAAAACATTTTCTATTTTAGAAACTTTGAGTCTGCGTTCATGTTTCTGTACCTCTGTTTGGTCTGTTTGGCAGGGTGTATGAGGCAGGCTGTTGGACACGATCCCAGCACCCTGGATCCTCATTGATTTTGCCCAGGTTGATGTTCCATTTGTTCCAGTTGACTTCCTCCACTCTGAGACAACAAGAGGACACATGCTCCAATTACTGTCTGCTGTGTGACGCATCAATCAGCTGTCAGAGAAGGCAAATTAGTGAACACAGTGTACTGCGCATCAATCGATCCTGCTCACACAGCTGCATCTTTTGTTAAATCTTCAGGCCCAAAACCTTTGTTTCTGCTATAGTGTTATTACTTGCTTAACCTGCCTTTTTTGCTACTCAGAGGATCAGCCCATAGAGGTGGAAGAGTTTGGGCATGAGATTTTTTAACTCCTCAATCTGAGAATTGACATGTAAAAGAAAATATTAATGTAACATTGTCAAGACTACATTTAAAATCCCAAATCCAGGAACTGATCATACCAGCCAAAATGTGGGTTAGATGACAACTTCAGTACTGTATCTCTCAGCATCCTTCCTATCACCAAGAAACCTGATACAAACACAACAAAACTTGAATTGTGGCCACTGGTGCAGATTATGCAGCACAACTGAACACAATGCAGGACCACTACTAAGCAGTAAACATATGAATAGTATAGCCAATCATAAAATATGCGTTTTCTTGTCAGTAACAACTATAGGGAAATTATTCAACCACCATAAACCTAGCAAACATGCTCTTTCCTCCGGTCCTTATCCAGGGCCGGATTAATCTGCTATGGAGCCCTGTGCGTTTAAGCACATGCACACACCAGCTTCACTGTATTGTGAGTCCCAGAAACCAACTAATATCTTTATGCTTAAATACTACTCTTCCCCTGCTTTGCTTTGTGTCCGATGTGGCTGTATTTAATGGTTTCCCGTACAGTTTTTGACCGCTCTGGAGCTGGGTTACGCGGTACACACTCCAATAGTTTGACGCCAAATGGTTTTGCTGAAAATACTTAAAAACGTACCTTTGCAAACATTTGTTTGACCTCATGAATACACATAATGCCTTGTAGTGAGTAACACTGGATAGAAACAACTTTTGCCGTTTAAAAGAAAATACCACAGCCTGGTTCTTTGAAATAAACGTCCAGTGTGTAGGATTTACTGGCATCTAGCAGATGTAGTTGCAGACTGCAACTCCCTCACTTCTCCCTCCATTTCCAAGCATGAAGGAGGAAATATTGTGAAATGTGCAAAAAAAACACAAAAGGTCCTATCTAGAGCCTGTGTTGTCTGTTCTGGGCTACTGTAGAAACATGGCGGTTCAACATGGCTGCTCATACTAAGGTAACAAAAACACAACGATTCTTATTTTCAGATGATACACCGATGAATATAATATTCATAGGTATATTATCTACCAGTAGATTCTCCTAAATGTTACAACAACAACAACAAAAAGATTTGATCTGAAGATCATCAAAGTTGTTACAGTTCCTTCTAAGGAGAACATGAATGTTTGGACCAAATTTCAATAATTACATTTTATTGCAGTCTGGACCAAAGTGGTGGACCAGACGGCAGACTGACCAACAATATCTATATTCCTCTATATTCCTATAGTCCTTATCTGTGATGGGGCAGAGACATTTATACGTCACACGTCATCCAGGACCTTCACATACAGCTATTGATGGAGGCTTTCACAACATGTCAAACTGATGGAATTGTCACTGAACTGAAAGAAACAAACCTGAAACAACGGCGAAGGTCAGCACCAAGTGTAGTGCTGAGGTTGATCTCCACCCCACAGCGAATCTTCTTTCTGAGACACGTCGACAGCCTTTTCTCCATGTCCAGGATGGTGATGGCCCTCTGAAAACAGTCACAGCACTACATTAAACCACAGCTACCTTGAACAGATATTCCCTCAACCACAGAGCACCTTCGGGACGCCTCACCTGCAGCTTCCAGATACAGGTGCTCTCCATGGCAGCCTTCTCCACTGTGCGGTTCATGAGGGCGATGAGCATGTTGAGCAGCAGGATGTATGTGAGAATGATGTAGCCGATGAGGAGAATGTAGAAGACCTCCTTGTACTGGTAGTGCTCGGTGAACTCAATGTCGCCCATGCCGATAGTGAACTTGAAGAGCTCCAGGGTGGTGTAAGAGATATCTCTGAAGGTGGGTTTTACACAGTTCTCCTCAGGCTCGACTGGACTCCAGATGAGACGCCCTGTCTTTTGAGTGGTGTTTTTTACAGGAGGCTCTATGAGCAGGGTGACCACCGCTGTGACAGGAGATAGGAAGCAGATTACAGTCAGTACCTCCATTCATGGTATAATAGCAGTGTTATTACACATTTATATTAAGAAATACCATTTCTTTGATCAGGAAAGTAATCAGTCTTAAAAATCGTACCTACGAGAGCAGCAGAACAAATATTTTCAGAGAGGAAACATACCTGCTGAAAATCCAAAAAGGAAGACGGCGTAGACAAAAAGAAAGCGCAGGATATCACTGAGGATCATCTACAAAGAAGACAAGAGACAAAAGGCTTCAGGAATCAGTTCACTGTGGTGTAGTTTGACCTGATGTAGTGGACTACCTTTTGTATCATGATGCTGTAGATGCCCATGTGTATGTGGCCCCTGCAGAAGTAGAGCAGGTTCACCCAGCTGAGAGCAAGACACAGCACCAGGAAGCCCAGGTACTCCTGCTGCCCGCTCAGATACAGCCCAGCTGAGACCAGGAAGAGGACGGCCTGCAAAAAACTATCAACAGCACAGAAGTCCTTACTTTATGATTGTAGATTCTAACAATAAAAGTGTTTACATTAAAACACAATGCTATGCTGGGGTTTGTCTGATATTTTACTAATAAAGCATGCATATAAAAACAAGAAGGATTCCTCCTCAGATTATCTGACTCTGTGAGTGAGGATTTTTTTAATAGCAGTATTTAAGATTAAGTGCCTATAAAAATGTATAAACATTTAAAGGCTTTTTTGTCATTGATTGATTGATTGATTGATTGATTGATTGATTGATTGATTGATTGATAATCCAACACAACTGTCTTTCGGAGGCTGATGTGGGCTCAGTTTTAAAGCTAGAAGTGAAGGTACTGGTATCACATGGAACTAAAAGGCCTAGTTCATCCATTGGTACCAACCATGTCATGTTAGTTAGTCGAGAATGGGATTAAATGTTGGTGATGGAAAAACTGGCATGGCTGTTTTCAAAGGTGTCTTTTGACCTCTGACCTTAAGATAACTGAATGGTTTCTATGGGTACCCATGAGTCTCCCCTTCACAAACATGTACACTTTATGCTAATCCCATGCACATTGGGACAAAAAAACAGCTGACATAAAAGAATTCACTTGCGTATTACTTCATCCACAGATGAATGTCCTCCCCCACTTCAAAACTCAGTCTGGCCTTTAATTTTGACCACATCTGGGAAAGAATCATACTACTTACAAAAGAATCTCATAATATCCATCAATCAGCAACGTCTGCAGCTTCGGCCGTTTCCTCTTCATGTCTATGATCTAGGGATTTAGATAAGTTTTGGATAAATCATATTGGAACATGACTTCCACAAGATGGTGATATGAACCCCTGGGTTTTAATTTGACACACAAGGGCACATACATACCCCTATGAAAAAGAAATAGCAGTTTGCCAGCGCTGTCACTAGCTGGCCTGAAACATACAGGTAACCCATTGAGGTTTGTTCAAGAAGAAAAGGTGGCTGTGGGGGGGAAGAAAAACACAACATCAGCACAGGTCTGTCTGGGGTGACAGAGATCAGTCACACAGTTTGTTGCAGCCAGCTCACCTTGCCATCCTGCTTATTGTAGGCTACAAAAGTGAAGATGATCAGGTACAAGAGGTATACTAAGAAGTTGAAAAAAAACATTCGACTTGCAAACGTCTTCCACTTTGACTCCAGCAACCGGCTCAGAGGCTCCGTCTCGAGCATCTCATGACGGTTCTGAGAGAGGTCAGAAGAAGACAGATGTTTGAGTAAAAAATGACATCAGCAACTGCTCTGACTGGACTCATAATGCGGGGACTCACAGGAATGTCACTGCCGTAGATCAGTATCTCCAAGACTGAGTTTTCCTCGTATGAGTCCACAGCGGCCAGGTCGTACAGGGAGCTGTTAACGGGCCCGTAAACCCACTCAGTGAATTTACGGGACAAATGTTTGGTATGACTCTCCTCGAATTCACGTTTCAGGATGTGTGAAAAAATCTGCAGACAAACGAAAGGAAAGTCAGAACAAAATACGTCTGTGGATGTTGAATCACATTCATCCAGGTAGTACTACATCAAGACTGAAATTGTAGACTTGTCTTTGACTCTACCCTAGCAGGCGGGACCAAAGACCCCAAACCAGAGGGTGCCATGCCCTTGTTCCGATTGCCCATTATTCCAAAAACCCCAACAGTGTGACAAATGTCCCACTGGACCAAAAGCCCATTTGTCCAATATCCTGTTACAGAAAACAAACTACAAACAAATTGTTCTGAAGGCCCCTTTTTCTTAAAATACACACTGTCCCTTGAGTTTTTTTGCACTTAATATCTTGAAGTATTTGGACAAAAATACACACTCTGATATGACCAATTTATGTACATAACTTAACTGATGTAACTTATCAAGTAGTTTTGGAGCTTTCCAGCATACCCAAATACACTAAGATATTAATGGTGAATAACTCCAAAGAGTGTGTATTTTCGGAAGAATGGTTCCATGAAACAGTCTGCTTTTTGTTTTTTTCGGATGTCAGACAGATAAATGGGCTTTCGGTCCAGTGGGATATTTTTCAGACTATTGGGGTTTCAGAATAATGGGCCAATTGGAACAATGGGCAGTCCCCACCCATAAACCTACTAAAACACTACTGTTTGGGTTATAAGTGGAGCTGGGGGCCATAGTACATTTTTAGCCCTGAGCCCCTATAGGATTTCTATGCGGTTGTGTCTGTAGTGACTCTGCAGTACTCCTTATATCAGCTTTTAGTGTTTACCCCGATCTTGCCAGTCTTGGCAGCCATTTTGAGAGGTGTCAGCCCTTTATTGTTCTCTATGTCCTCCAGCTTCAGCTTGGGGTGCAGTCTGGCAGTGGTCTTGAGGATGCGGTCGTACATGTTTGTGATGAACTCTGTATTATTCTTATCTGTATTATTCTTATCATCAGCCACCACCACCAAGGCGTGCAGCACCGTGTTGCCCTGAGAGTCCTGAAGCTTAGCGTCTGCTCGTTCATACTCATTCTCCATGAGAAAGTCCACCACGTCGGGCTGGTTGGTGCAGGCTGCCAGAGACAGAGGCAGCTCACCTGAAGACAACAGAGAGAGAGACTCTGTTCATTAACAGTTTTTTTGTTTTTTTTTAATAACACATTTAAATGCATCCCTGTCTGATTGTTAAATTTGTGTCTACCTTCAGTCCATCAAAATACAAGGATGACCTTTCACAGCACAGCTTTGAGACTGATGCCAGACACATTCATGCTATCTTTAAAGTCTCTCTCCACTAAAAAATGTGTTTTGCTCATTGTTATTTCACTAGGATGTTTAACCTTCACTGTGCAGAATGATGTTTGTGCACAGTTTCACACTAAAGGTTGATTTAACATTCATCCGCTAGAGGTCAGAGTTTCACTGTTCTATGTGTACAGCCCTGGTTCTTTGATAACAGAGTGAGGTGTTTCTCTATGGGAATCACCTCAGCATTTTTTTAAACTTTGTTTGGACTTTATCCTTGAACCTCAACCACAAAATAATTATCATTATTTGGGGGTATTGAGGTGGTAACAGTGCAGTCTCTTACAAAGGGGGATGTGAAGTAGAAGGCATCTTCAATTCAATTCAATTCAATTCATTTTCTATTGTCATTTAATACAATGTACAGGCACATAATAAACTAATCTGGCTGCGCCTTCACAAAGATAAAACATATGTACAACTTCTTGTTGTAAATAAACAATATTTGAATATTTAAGAATCTGGATTTGATGAATTTCTGTAAACTATATCAGACAAGTTATTATTCACAGCAGCGTGCTATTTCACTATTTGTCTTAAACCATGTTTGGAGGAGATCTTTTTTTAAATAATTATTTATTGGGCTTTTTTATCCATTTATTTGGAAAGTTACAGCTGTAGATAGACAGGAAGATGGGGGGAGAAAGAGACGCCAACACAGAATCGAATCTGGGCCACTGCGATTAGGACTCATTTGTACTGGGTTGCGAGCTCTACCAGGTGAGCTACTGGGGCGTCCCCCATCTTTAAAGTAAAAAATATAACATGTTTGGGAATGTCACTGTGAAACCTTTGACCACTAGTGGCGCTGCAGAGAAATGTTTTGATGAACAAGCTCCTGTATTGTCTGTATATTGTGGTCTATAGCAGTGATTCCCAACTTATGGGTTGGGACCCCCACTAGGGGTCAACAAAGCTTCATGGGGGGTTGCAGGGCCTTCATTTTAAGGGGTGTTAGAAAAGTTTAAATACAGACAGTAGACTTATATCTCAGTATTTGGCTTATTTCTGTGAAGAAAAGTAGATGTAATTGTTATTTTTAAAGTTTAGATTTTTATTTAAGATCTAAACCTGAACACAAGCTATATTCACAGAGCCTTCACTCTCTGATAAACAGACTCGTCCTGCATTAGAAAAATACGAATTTAAAACAACCAAAAAAAACCATTAAATTTGTCACAAAAAGAATCCTATTATGTTTGATCGTTAAAAAATTTAATAAAATTATAAAACAACACAGAGTGGTTCCCTAAAATTATCAGTAGGCCTATAACTCATCTCTGATCAATATTCACAAGAAATAATCATCTCAAAATTCATCCAAAACGATTGTTTTATATAAACTTCCTCCAGTTATTATGTGAATTGTAATGTTTATCAGTTGTTCTGTACTGTTATTATTGACTATAATGTGTAATATCCATAAAATAGGGGTCGTCAGTTTATATGTTCTATAGGGTCATGTCCATGAGGAAGATCTGCTGAGTTATTTAAATAACTAAGTTCCTATGTTCCAGGATTGATTTTATTCTGGGTTTTAATCAGAAAATGTATCCAGATAACTCAGAAACCCTCTTAAAACGGGGCCCTTGCTCACATGCAGTATTACATATCAACAGTTGGTGGTGGTGTTGTCTTGTAAACGGGAGCAATGAACCAGTAAGACAAGACTTTTCCCTCTCAGCAACATGCATATTTTGCAGTGACTAAAATATTGATTGAAGCAGTTGGTGTATTATATTAATCTCAAGAAAAAAACACACCTCGGTTATGGCCCTGTAATACTCACAGTGCTGATTCAGTAGTGCTGTACAGTCTTTCTTTTTTGCCTCAAATAAACACTGAGAAAAATGTCATAATTTGACAGCAAAATAATGAAATGCAATTTGAGAAAATTACCACCTAGAAATAATTTAAATGTATTGTAGATGCTTTGAAACATTTTCTATGAAGGTCACATCTATATTGCATTATAAGCACATTCAAAATACATTTTAATGTGTTTATAAGGTTTTGTAAAACTTTTTATAAATGTTTATAATCATCTATGACAATTTATATTATAATATATATTTATATATAACCTGTGGTGAACATAATGTATTATTTGTTCACATTCATAATGCTTTATACCTCCATTGGTGTGTCCACAGTGTTAAAAAGAAATATCCTAACTTCAGCCAGTTATAAAGACACAGAGAACTGCTCCAACGTATCACATAAGATGGTAATGTATGATTCATCTTGTTAGCAGATGATTAGGAGCATGGACTCACCAAAGTAGAAGTTGGGGCCGTCATGTGGCTGGAAGAATGTTCCACAGGCTTTGGCATGAACGATTGCTCCTTTACTGACCAACAGCTTCACATAGAGAAGACTCCTCCTCTCAATGGCTATATGGAGAGCTGTCTGGCCTACAAGAGTCCCACATCAGTACATATCAGACAGGCAGTCACATTACTTTACACAGTCTGTGTCTGATGAAAGACAGAATGTTACGTTTTTTCCTCACAGCATTTCTGCCTCGTTTACCTTTGTAGTAGCTGTTGGTGTAGGCTGAATTCACAAACTTTTTGATGTCACCCATCTTCTCCGAAATGTCAATTAATAGTTCCACCGTGTTGTTCTTGCCATCTTTGAGGTGCAGCAGAGCCTTCATCAGGGCATTTTTACCATCGGACTGATCTGCGGTTGTAACCACATATTCAGGGAGTTAACACACAGGTTACTGCGCGGTGCAGCTGATGCATTATGGGTCTCACACTCACACAAAGTGTCCGAGAGTTTCATCATGTTCTGGTGCAGGTACTGATGCAGGCCGTCCAGCTTTCCAACGTCCCTGCTGGCCACTGCTTCAAATAACCTATCGATGTTAAATGTCTTGCTGTCTCTCTTGCTGCTGTTCCCCCCGTCACCTCGAATCTGTCTACAAACAGCAAATGTTATACAGACAACAGGGTTACAAAAGCTTCACGCTCCACATTAATCAACACTGTGGGTCTTGATAATACACAGCACCCATGTTATAATAGTGTTATAAAAAGGCGGGGATCACTTTATCTTTGCATGGAGAGGCTCACTTGTCAAAGTTGAGATTGAATCTGATTGGAGATGTGGCCTCCTTTATTTCCTTCTGGTAATTAGTGTCCATGGGAGCACTGGGCGCCTCCTTGCCCAAACCCAGGGCAGAAACTAATCCATCCTTCTTTGCAGCTTTCTGCTGTGATTTCTCCTCCTCCGTCCTGTTGTCTGACTCCAGAGAGAAGCCAAACATCTCAGACTTGTCCATCTTCAACTCTCGTTCCAGCAGTCTGCATAGAAATACAGTGCAAGTGCACATCATTCAGACAACAAGCAACAAATCCTGGGAAGCTGATTAGACAGAGGAAGTACGTGGTGAGGTATAGTTTGCTTCAACAAATTCTTCATCGCAGACTTCCACAAAGCGATATCACATGAGCCAATCAAATTAGTAGAAAGCTTCACTTTCTGTAGAACAGTGGCGTAAGGTAGTTATGATAGGCCCCATTGCAGGTTATTATGATGGGCCCTAGGGATGTGACATCAACCTACATATTATCCACTAATAACTGAAAATCTGTACTTAACAAATATACAAAAAAAGAAGAAATTATTCATTTAATCAAACTGTTTTTTATAGTTTATGTGGAATATGCATAATTTTGTTTAAAAAAGAAAAGAAAACCATGTTGGAGCTGGGTTAGGAGCCATCCAAAGGATGATGATTAACCGTGTGAGCAAGAAAAAAAAAAATACACTCACAACTGTGTCAATGGGTCACACGCACTGCTTTGTTTTGATGGATCAGAAACCAAAAAAGGTTAAGGGCCACTCCCGTAAACAATGCAGGACACTGTGTGTAGTGTGCTTTAACATGAGCTACCATATATTTATATCAGCTGGGTCTGAAATATGTTTACTACAGGGGATCACCTCACTAGCCTTTAAGGACACAGGCATATTTTCAGACATGTGATGTTTCACCATCCAGTGACTAACAAAGGAGTGTATTTAGAAGAAGATTTCCATGACAGCAGTACACATAGTGCCCGGTCTGGTAGCCACTTCTTTGCAGAATAATCAAATAATTTACACTATGGGTTTTACAGAAACAGAATCAGCGAGTAAATGAAATGAAAATATTCTTGCAAAGTTCAGCTGATCACTGTGAAATGATATATGATATATAGATATTTTCATCTAAAGGAAGACATCTCAAGGATTATGGGAACCTAATTTTTTGGTGGCTGCTTGTTCCCCTTTCCAGTCACAAAATGGGGAATTAGTGATTTATAACTCTGTGACTGTGATGATCACAAGAAGGATATATATAGCACAGAAAGGGTGGAAAAAGTATGCATATCTTTTTTTTTTTCTGAAGTACATGTTTCAATAAAACATGATTTATTAACATTTTTTTTATTTGTACTAGATCTAAATGATGAATTAAATGTCCGTTTGCATTGACAAAACTTGAAGCATAGTACTTTAAAACTTGTTTGTTGTTCAATTGTGTGTGCAGAAGCACCCTCTTCCATGCCTTGAAATTATGTCCTGCTGTATTATTTATGGACCTATTGATTCATGACCTGTTTTTTTGTACGATACAGTTACACATGTAGAATTACAAATCTGTTCCCTTCTCCCATACAGTTATTTCCCATACCCTCATTAAATCTCATGAAATAGGAAATAAATGTACAAAATATATGTACACAGTTGTGATTGTTATGAGAATGTAAAAAATCAAAGAAAACAGAAGGGATTCCTGTTTACGATACTACAGATGTGATCCTTCAGGATCACAAACAATCGATGATTTAAACAAAACCATAAAATATCATTTGACTCACCAGAAGGACGTCTTCCTGTTCCAGATTGTCTTCTTGTTTAAAAAAAACAAAACAACACAATGGAGTGTCCTGCAGAGTCCTTGTTGTGCTGCCTCCTAAACGTTAACAGTGAGGAGATTATCAGGAACAGGCTAGAGAGATAAAGTGACACGCCCTAGAGGATATCAATGCACATTAATGGAGCCATGAGTGCTTAAAAGGATGTTCTACTGACCATCACTACTCAAGGCAAGACACAAAAAAATACCACAAAGGAATCCAGAGGTATGCACTACACTGAGTACCAGTAGGTTATCCAACATGAACACATATCTGATTCTAATTAGAGAAGGAGCCAAAGAGCAGCCTTTTTCCTACAGCATTAAGTAAATTGAATTGATCTATTCTACCTTAGAAATAAGCCCTTGTGTCTCTCTGATAATAACGCAACATAAATGAGTAACTTACCCCTGTAAAATGCTACTTTTCGGGTGTTTCTGTGACTTGTGGTGAATAAAAAAAATGAAGGCAGCCTTCCTTTTTATAGTCGCTGCCACTGTGTTTCCTGTGTATGTCTTATCTGTTTCTTCGCAGTGTCACTTATGTACATGTGTTTTCTGTGCAACTATGGTCCTGTGACGGAGTGTGTGGTTTCAAAGCTTCTGCCTAACAGTGCAGGCTGTACAGCTGGTCTGTGTTCATGTGACTTTCTTTCTTAAGATCACTTCCTTTTTTTCCCCCAGTTAAACAGGGTAAACCGCCTTTGCATTGTGAGATGGTTCAAGTATTTAATATGTCACCCAAATAGGCACCCGACCAACTAAAACTTTATCTTTGATATTATACAGCTTGGTGATATATAGATAATAAAAAAAACATTTAAAGATCTTAAAGAATGAATTATTAACACTGCTTTATTTGTACCATAATCACATTACATCAGGTGTCAAGTACTGGTACATTCAGAGAACAATAACTGCATATAACAGTAGTAATTTAAAAAAAACAGTTAATCTGTTGTAATGAATGGCAGGCAACACTAATAACAGTGATGTCACAACTGCATTTACTTGTAGAAATATCCCTGTATTCATTCATTATTATAGAAATGATAAAGCCATCAACAGTGCTGCTGCTAGAAATATTCCAGGTGAAATGCTCGTTTGCCAAAATCTGCATCGACCCTCATCTGATGCTTCTATCATTTATTGTCACTTCGATCTCCTTTTCTTACTAAACTGGATCATGAAACAAACATCAAATGATTAAAAGCAGCAGCAGAGGCAAGACAAATTCTGCAATGACTGATAAAAGGAAGATCTTAAAAAAGGTTAATAAGAATGAAAAGCAAAATTAACATTAAAGACAAACAACAATGTGAGTAGCAGAAATTCAGAATGGAAGATGGAAGAAGGCAAAGAAAAAGCGCCAAAAAGAACATTTCACTTGAGGTTAAAGTATAAAATGAAAACATAACATTTAAAGAAAACGGTATCATAATGTTTGGATCTAAGGATCTGCTGGGACAAACTGAACAGGTACAGTGAATGAGCACATATTTACTAAACCATTCCTCGGATAAATGTGCTGATCTAGGGCCCTGTGTCACAAAGTAAAGTTAGTGTACAGTATTAGCCGGCTATCTTTGGGTTTAACTTTGGATTTCTGGTAATGTGACGCTGGTTCACTGTAAAATGAAGCAGATCATCATACGCTGCACAGCTAACCTGCTCCTGAGTAGGTTAACTTCAGTGGATCCAATCAAAACATTTACACAGGTCAGTGGAGTCATCATCAGCCTCTTTCACATGAACACACTTGTATATGATAACCAGCCTCATGATACTGGTGATCCAGGATCACCGATGTTAGGCTCAGTGAAGCCAGCTAACCCAAAGAGAGCCAGACTAAGTTAAACTTGCTTTGTAAAAACACATCAGACACACTCACACACACACACACACACACACACACACACACACACACACACACACACACACACACACACACACACACACACACACACACACACACACACACACACACACACACACACACACACAGAGCATGGTCCCAGTCTGTGGATTCAAACCCTTAAGCTGAATTTGACATGAAAAGGAGAGAGTTGAGATGGAAATACCAAAGTCATTGTATACATGTGGGGTGCTGAAATCTTTTACAGCCCTTTTTAGTTGCTGCTTAAAGGAGGCTGCTGTCAGTGAGAGAAATTATCTTTTGGTCTTACAGAGCAAAATATCTTAGAATTTGCCTCATTTAAACAAAGTGATGCCATTCCATGAGGCACTCAGAAGTGTGCAAAATTATCAGTTAATCACATAAACAGACAGGGATTCCCCTGTGGATCTCGTTCACCGTAGGTCACAGAGGACCATGGCCACGCCGACGGCAGAATCTGCGTTTTGTCCGTATACAACCGGCTGGAGAAACGCCTTCTCCACTTCCTGCCTTAGCACCTCGTTGCGGGCGATGGCGCTCCCACTGGCCACAATCCTGCTGACCCCTGCCTGCTGCAGACGCTCAGCCGGCATCATGGAGGTGATGTTGTCCAAGACTCCGCGGCACAGTGCTCTGGTCAAATGACCCAGAGAGAGATTGGTAGTGGAGATGTTGGTCACCTGACCCAGGCAAAGAGGGTTGTGTCTCTCTCCCAGGATGGTAGGACTCACCCTCAGGTCGCTCGTTTCCTGATTCAGGGCGCAATGAATCAGTTTCTCATATAAGCAGGAATCAGTCAGCTCCACATCTGTATAGGGAAGAGGATGAAACACATTTAATGGCAATAATCAAGCATTTAGCATTTGTCATTTAAATGGGTACGCGTTTAACCAGCCGTTCTTAAGTGGATTTGTTTCCTGTATAAGAGCTTGGACAAGACTAAGAGTCTACAGCCATATTAGCAGCTCTATGAGTCTATACTTAGACACAGTGCTGCTTAAATGCTAATGTTTATTCAGGGTGGGTGGGTGGGGGGGGGGGGATACTGACAGGAAAGGGGGAGAGAGAGGCACACAGCAAAGGGCCACAGGTCAGACTGTAGCAACCTTGGTACATGGGCCGCCAGCTCAACCAGGTAAACTACCAGGGTGCCCCGACATGTTGATGTTTAACAGGTATGATGTCTGCACAAAGTGTTGGACTGACAGCCAACAGACCCGACACTGCTACCCTTTGAACTAAAAATACATACCGAGCTCTTTCATCCAGGCAGCGAGCATCTCCACAAAAGTGGCCAGTACGTTCCCTCCGTTGAGTGAAGCCGCCACCGCCAAGTACGAGTCTTCAAAGTAGGGGAAGTAGGAGATGGAGGAGTCCGGCCGAGGAGATTTTGGAGGTTTGAAATCAGGTGGCATGGCAAAGGTCAGCTGGGCTGAGGTGCTTATGTTAAGAACTGTAAAATCAGGAGAGATACAAACAGTCGTCTAAGGCTTACAAACTAACAGCACCAAACATGATATTCAAGAGGTGGCAGGCAGGATTACACTTGATGCATAATGCATTTGTTTTCTGGTACATGGGGATTTATTGCTGTATACTTTCTTTATTGTATCTTTATTTTTGTAATTTTTTCTCTCGTTGTTGTCTTTATTTTTGTTCTGGTTAATAGCACTTGTTTTTTTTAGAAAAATTAGAACTTCCATCACAATTTCATCACAAAAACTTATGACATGTAACTGTAGTAAATTCAAACATAACCAGTAGAGCAATAGCGGACAAAAACAAATGGATGCAATGTGTCACGGTACTGCTGTAATGGATGCAATCATCTGAAGTGCATGGACTGGCAAAGAGTACCGCATTCACTGCATTAAGTCTGACCCTGGCCTCAGAGAGATGATTGGACTTCCTGTTTCACCTCCATCTGTCCGCGCACTCATGCAGGAGTAGACAGAGCACTGGAAGTCTCCCAGGGCTGCCCCTACTGGCGTACCGGCAGGGATACCATGCCAGTCAGAGCACGTCTGTCCCGCCAAGCCACCAGATGGCACACACTGAGGAAGCAGGTGCAAAGGGAAGCCGGCCCCCTTCAGACTGGTGCATGCACACACAGAGTGACTTAGGTTATGTAGGTTACACAGAAGAACTCTGACACTGTAAGTTTGTAAGGAACTGTACAAAGTGTTAGCAGTTGAACAACAATCATGCACAAGCTATAAAACCTTTTCATGCATTTAGCACTTTAAATAAATTCTCTGTCAACTTCAGCACAGAAATGAGAAAGTGCTTTACATACATGTCTATATTCCACTGGTTGGAGGAAGTGTTGAAGAAGCCCCAGCTGGCTGCATTCTGAGGCGTCATCACACACCCGTCCAACCCACACAGCATGGACACCACATAGTCCTGGATGGTGCCTGCGACTGTGAAGTCCTTAAGGAACTCGGGCCTGCGGTGAAACCACACATCTTCAGGGTTCACTTTTGCATCACAAAACCAAGTGATGCAGTAGGCTCTACGTGCTTTTTTGTTTTTAACTCGTGCTGACCTGTGTCTCATGTACCAGAAGATTGTTGCACAGCCAAACCCGGTGGCTACGCTGAGATGTGAGTCTGGTTTTGGAAGAGACGACAGGAAGTCACTGCTGCAGCGCCCATCCTGCCAGGTGATCAGCTGACTGGTGTCTCTGACTGTGAAGAAGTCCCCGTTGGACCAATCACAACCTGTGAGGAGTAAGAGACACAGAGATATGATTTTGGTTTTTTTTGGAATACCAAATTATTCCAGTATCAGAGGTTTTCTATGGTTGCAAATCTATTTTCATACAAACTTTTGGATGCAACCGGCAGAGAGCAACATATTTATGAAAGAGGTACAATGGACCAACTAAGTTTCAGTTTAAAATAGGAGTTGTTAGCAGAAAACCTCCTGCTTTATTGTACCTGTGTATGCCATGCCTCTTGATCCATTTTAAAAAAGAATCTTAAAAGGTCATCAGAACTGCACAATGGATAAATATGTAATTCATCGCAACTCTCCTCTTGAAAGGCTTCTTCCAGATCCAGTGAATGTTTTTCTGAAGCCTGTGGTCTGCTTAAACATTATAGGAACTGCTGTCCAGTGAATAATTTATAGTCTCTACAGACAGAGTGGATTGTTAAGAGTTCCACTAATAACACGTATTACATTAATTGATCTGTGAAATAAGAAAGTACATACAATAGGAAATTGGGGATATCCTTTTTCTTTGATTATCACACACATAATAATTCCTGATATATACAGTATATATATGTGTGTGTGTGTGTGTGCGCGTGTGTGGAATTTTAATCTCCATTATGTGAGTTCATAAATTGTAAGATGTAAAAGCAATATGTCAACGTGCTGAAAACACTGCTGTGTGCAGGCCAAGCCCTCTACTTGATGAGCAGATCACTTAGATAGAAGCAGCTCTTTGGGAATAGCTCAGATTTCAACTGAAGATCTGTAATTAACTCCTCAATAATGTGGTGGTTTTATTTATTAATCGATTCATAGCCTGAAAACAAAAACAATTGTAAGAGTTTTGCACTGTATCTACATTTGGGGGCCACGACCATCAGACCAACTTGTTTTTAAAATAGTCTATCTCTTGCTGTTTCCTCTCTGGTTTCTTTTACACTTTAAATGAATCAATAAGAGAAGAAATCCGTTTATTTGCTGCTCAGACAGCTCCTGTCTCACATCCGTTGTTGCACATGTTACCACACTTGTTGTGAAAAATGCAGGAAGGTTAAAGTCTCACCGAACAGTGCTTTCCAGAATAAAACCCCGTGCATCTGCCCGGACAGCCCGATGCTGCTGACCCGCTGCAGTTTGTCTCCGGGCAGCAGGCCGACGCACCGGTTCAGGGCGTCCACGATCCGGCCCGTGTCCTGCTCCTTCGCCTGCGTGTGGAGGAAACACAGACAGGTTAACTAGAGGAACCCGCAGCAGTGCTGGGGTCACTGGGCTGCTGGGTAACGCTGTGCAGGTCGGGAGCGCACTCACCTTAACCACGTCACTGTCGGTGATATCTGACGTCGTTGGCGTAGTGTGAGTGGCAGCCACCGACCTGGAGCCGGTTTCTAATAAAACGGCCTTTACCGACGTGGTGCCCACGTCTATACCCAGAATATAGGCAGACATTACTCCTGCTGACACGGTGTACTTCGCCTCTCAGCCATACTGACAAGGCAAAGGCAACCCTGCTGCCTTCAGGTCACAGTAGGAAAACGGAATTCTGAGATTCACTTTTGCAAGTTAATCACTTCAAACTGACTTGGGTTGAAAAACACTTTGCTAATGGCCATAACTTTAAAGACATTATTGTAACACTTTCCTCTTAATAGCATTAACTGTGGCCAAGAAACCCACACTACCCGACTGGAAAGACGGAACTAAACTATCAACCCACTGGATCATTGTGTTATCAGACCATGCAGACAATCTGATCCCATATTATAACACCTGTTCTCCTCTCTGGCAGTTCATCCAGAGCTGATTCTTCTACACACCACCTCTCCCACCCAGATCTTCCCCCCATTGTTATAACTCAAACTGACAAAACAACCTACACATAATGTGCATGCCCAACACTACCCATACCCATCAAGACTTACCCCATTTTTGTGTGTTTGTTTTTGTTTTCTTTTTCTTTTATGTTTCTGCATTTTATCCATGTCCTCATGTCCCCCTATTTCTGTTGTCGTTTTGTAAATGCCTTGGTTTTATAAATATTCTTGTTATCCACTACTACTACTACTAATAATAATAATAATTATAATATATATAATACAAATCCTGGGTAAATCTTGACTTGTAAAACAATGGTGTAACTAACAATATAATTAATGCATGCATTCCATTCAGGTGGACCAGTGCCAGAGCTGCAGTATTGTGTATCCTGGCTCACTGCCATGGCAACACCTTTAATCAGTCACACCTTTTTCTCCTATGACAAGACACTATTGTCTCTCTGTGAGAGGGGTGTATTTATTCTTACATTAGTTTTATTTGTCTATTTATAACAGAGAACAGAAGAAGAAACAAAATCAATGTTTACCAGAATAATATGTTTTTACCATGCTACAGCTACTGTATAGCAGTGAAATATGTATGTTTTTAGCATTTATAAACCAATTTATTGTATTATAGCATCACAAATATAAATATAGAAATCAGGTATATCTGTTTGCAGAAATACAGAGATAAAAACAAATTGATTGTAATAGTAACAGCAAATAAAATAGTCTTGCTGGTTTGTTTTAAAGCAGGAACATCAATTTTCCCCAAAAGGAAATATTTTTTATCTTTTGGGCACAAGATAATTTACTATAAATTCATATGCATCTCTAACGGCTTCAGGTGCACACAGCTGTCATATAATGGAGAGAAGATAAGATAAGATAGACTTTTATTTTATTTATTTATTTATAGAACTCAACTCATTAAGTTTTATTTTCACCTCTGAATGTCATACCATGAAATTCTTGCTGCCGAATGTCGGTCAGATTCTGTTTAGAGGGGCACGGACACTTCAGTAAAACGGGCGAATAACAGAAAGCTATCTTTCTCAACTATCTTATCAACCAGCTCAACCACAGATAACATAGCAAAGTGACTGCTTAAATAAAGCAATGAACACAGCAATGTTTCAAACATAGTGGAGAAATCAGCATACATAGGCCTACAAAGCCATAAGATAAGTAACTTGCGCGCACAAGATAAAAAATATTTCATTTTGGGGACATTTTGGGGACTTTGGGGGGTCCGTAATCTCCATATAATTCCCACTAAATAAGGATTTTCTCTGTATGGTGCAGTTGTGGTACATGTTGCTGTTTCTCCAGTGATGCTGGACGTTTGAATAGAAAGGGTTTACATGCATGTTGAAATGTGGTGCCTCCATGGGGGCCACGTTCATCGTGAGGGGCCTTTTCCCTGCTGTGAAGTTGGAGTTTCCTACTCTTTAATGTTCTCAGAACGCACCACGACGTCGCCTGGGGTTTGACGATTACGCTGTTCCCACAATGCACTGCGGAGGAGCATGGCCGACTCTTGTCTAGGAGTGTCATCCAAACGAGAATGAATGCGCTGTCCCTGTACCATATCTGTTAACATCGTCCCATACTCGAGTCTGTGTACTGACTGTTGCAGATTATGTGTGTGTAGCCGCGCCGTGAGGAGCCGACACTTCCTACGTTTCCATCCGGTGAGAGTCTCCTCCGGTACCGTCACTGGCAGCCTGGGGAGCTAGCTCATAATGCTATTCTGTTAGCCACACTAAATGTTTCAACTGAACGGTTTAATGTCCGGTTAAACTCCTCGGGTCCGTACAGTGCTGCGTTAAAGTTGGTTCGCTTTTGTCCACTCTTTGGTGTTTATGTGCCGGTTTCTGTCACCAGAGCGAGGCTTTAAATGTGTGTGTCAGTATGTGTTTCATTGTGTTAAGCTAACGTCGACCGAGGCTGACCGACAGCTTTTCTTTCTGTCTTTGTCAGTCGCATTAGAGTGCCTGTAATGTGTCCAAACCTAATCTGTTTAAATGTGTATGAAAGCATTACGTTAACCTTTGACGTACTGACACCTGTACAGCCGGTGTTACACTGAACTCAGTGACCGGCAGTGTTGGACAGGTTTATGCATGAGGAGGGGGATGGTTAGGGTAAGAACATCAGGACAGGTCACAGATATCTGTATAACACCGGTATAATATAGCTTTTATAATGATATAACTTAAATGGCATCGCTTACCAGTAGTTGAAGAAGCATTAAGGTAAAAATACTCCATTCAAAATCATACTGAAGTGTAATACTTCATCATCAGATGTCAATATTAAAAGCAGAAGTATTAATTATGCCACCTGTCAGTGTCATCACATTTTATTGCATTGTTGTTATTGATACAGTAATGTGTATGCTGCCTTTTTTTATGTAGCTGGTTGAGTTGATTACAACTATTAATTATTTTCACTTGGGTTGTTCAATATGTAACAGTCCATTAAGTTTTATTGTCTCATGGATTCTGCACATAAAATATTCAACTGCAGAGTAACTAGTTTCCATAGCTGTGAAATAAATGCTGTGGAGTAAAATGTTCAATATTTGCCTCCTAATTGAGTGATGTAGAAGTTTACAGTAGCTTAAAACTGTGTCTCATAACCTTACTTATATACAGTATTTGAGTAACCGCAGCTGTTGTGTATTGGTAACATGTCTGAATCTCTCCTGAAACAGCAGCACCTTCCCTGTGATAGCTGACCAGAGCCAAGATGGCAGGAGTTGTAGCCAAGCGTGAGGGACCACAGTTCATCAGTGAAGTAGCCGTGAGGGGCAACGCCGCCGTGCTGGACTACTGCCGCACCTCTGTATCCGCCCTGTCCGGAGCAACAGCTGGCATCCTGGGGCTGACTGGACTGTATGGCTTTATTTTTTATTTCCTCTCTGCATTTCTCCTCTCTCTGCTGCTCATTCTCAAGGCGGGACGGCGGTGGAACAAATGCTTTAAATCGCGGCGGCTGCTCTTCACCGGGGGCCTTGTCGGAGGTCTTTTCACCTACGTCCTGTTCTGGACTTTCCTTTACGGGATGGTGCATGTGTACTAAAATGATCTACCACAAATAACCCCGAATTTATCCCATCTTATACTACGTAAACCAATAATATTGTCTGTCCTGCTGTTTGTAGATAAGCCATTAGTGAACGACTTTGGATTTTTACATTATGAACTGTTGATTAAACACATTACTTGTCAATAATAATAGTGTGCAGAATAAAATGTCCTCTTATCCTCCGTGCTCCACACTTAGCAGTGACTATGAACTTATTTAAACTGTAACTCCTGCTCTGTGCTTGGCGTCGCCCGTACCAGGAGCAGTTTTGATGATGAAGGTTGTAGTGTAACATAGATCGGAACGGATTACATGCAGACAAGTTTTAAGCACTTTGCATTTAATTTCATGTACAATACTGTGTTTAAATGATAACAAAATCTGATTGAAATAAATACGTCTGTACAACTTGCTTGTATACATTATTAATGAGTTTGTCTCTCAGGCAGTGTCATCTGTTGACATCATGAAATCGACATGACAAGTACATATTCAATAAATAGAAACAGCAGGGAGGAGGGAGGAGTCCATGCACCGTTCATTAACAGACAGTGAGCAGACTCACAGTAGCACATCACGACTGCACTCCACAGCTTCACAAATACATTCTACTCTGAGTAAGATTGTGTTGTGGTCATTGCGTGGCCGATATAAGATTCACAACCAGCACAGCCAACTCAGCATATAGCATGAAACATAATAGTGGTGTCTAACTAGTACAGTCACTACTCAGGTACATGATGCATCCAACCAAAATACCAACAGTTAAGACCATTCACACATTTTCTTCCATATTGCTTCCAAGTACAGTTTTTTTTCCCTCTTAGAATCCACGCTTACAAAATCATCTCTCTCATGACCGACACTGAATTTGTAAGGTCGTCTGCAGATTGTTTTACAAAGTTTATTTTACCTAATCCAAGGTTATATTTAAGGTCCATGGGGAAAATTTGGCATAAAATGTAGGGCTGCAATTTTCATTGTCAGTGAATCTATCATGTCAGACTTTTTGCTGGAATTTTCAAAATTGTATCCATAAAATGAAAAAAAAAATTAAAATAAATATGGCCCATCATGTATTACTCAAACTATAAATTATGCTTAATTAGTCTGATCAACAGCCAAAAAAAGCTAAAAAATATAGATTTTATGACACGAAACAAAGACAATGAATCCTTTGCATTTGTAAAGCAGTAATTAGCAAACATTCAGTAATTCACTTAAAGTCTTAGATGAATAATTTTATGTCACTCTGCTAATTGCATCAGCATTATTACAGTACTTTGGCTTATCCTTATTTATGGACCTGTTGTAACCTCCCACATCCCACCTCTGGATCCTGACCCAGCCACTGAACCTTTCTGTGAATTCCTACAGCAGCGTCCTGGCCTACTTGCACGGTGTGGACCAACATCTCTTCAGTCAGGGCAAACATCACTCAGGCTAGTGGCATGCCAGCAGTCGTGCCAGTAGGTGAGAAGTGGACATCAGTCTGACCTTTGGTTCCACCTCTTGTAACATAAACGAGCCCACAGCAGGTGATCCGTCTTGCTCTGCTTGCAAACTTAATTGTGTGAAGCGAAAGTGATATGATGCCTT